AAACAATGCTTGGAAGTTTCGCTAATTGACTACTCTAAAGTTCAGCTAACTCAGTACCCTCAGAGTTCGTGACGTTCATATTGAGCTAAGCCAATATTGTCGATTCTAGTCATCAATGCAAATCTCTCGTTTGGCAATAACTTATTAGTAGTGGTCAGTCACTTAGTTGTTGTTTGCCTACTATAACCCCTTAAAACCTAGTTTCCTTTTGAAGAAGAAGATTTTTGAACATTGGAGGTTCCAGATGCAATTGCACATTCTCATCTAACAAAAACTTACGGATTTTTTGGATTTTGGACATCTTGTTTATGCTTGATCATTTTGTATCTAGCAATAGTCTTATTGTATCGTTCCACGTCGTATCCAGCTAAATAGGTTCTGTAATAAGAAATCCACAGTTTCAAAAGAACCTGCTGTCTTCGACCTAGAGCTTTAAGGTCTAGCTTCATTCACCTAATATAACTTTAAAAAGGTTCAAAAATGACGATAAGGAAAATCAGAAATTACCGCGTATACAGATCGTCGTCCTCTCCTCCCCATCCCCAGTATCGATTGGAATGTCCATTCACAGCAAGATACTGTTTGATAGTGAACATAGAACTTGTGCCAAACATTCCATCGTAGAACAGTCTGTCATAATTTTGCATAATTTTGTTCGTTTCTCCCATTTAGAAAAAGCAATCTCACGTGTAATTATACTTGTCCATTGCAACAGCCATGTGTCGTGGATTTCGCTTGGGGCACAAATGCAGGTTTCGTCTATCTTCTGGTAATAAATCTACATCATGAAATAGAATGCACTCCCAGTCGTAGAGCTTCATTGCCTCGATGAAACCGACATTCAATAGCTAAATACTGCTTTCAAGTTATTGTTAGGCATTTTTAGGATACACGACTTCTTACCTTGCCACGATTGAAAGTCTGATTAACAGTTTGTTCAATTACAAATATAGAGTAGTCCAGCTCCTGTTCGGTAAGAAACGTGTGCATATTGTTCAAAAGAATTCGAAGGTGTAATTCGCGATCTCGATATGGTATCACTACGGCAACCTAAAAAAA